TCATTTACGCCGTGACTAGCAGTAGTATTTTATAAACCTTAGAAGCAAATTTCACATACATGAACAAATAATAATAATAATGCCGTGACAACAAGAAGACGAAGTAACGACTTCTCGTAGGGTGGCGGCTTCGCCGTCACCTTAAAATTTTAATCCATACCTGAGTACGCCAACCGGCATAAACACCAACGGCCTGGACACAGCTCATCTACTTTGTAAAAAGGAGACCGATGTACAAATAAAACGCGTAAGACATATGATCATTTGCCACAAAAGTCATCCTAGCGAACGCAACATTGAGTTTTTACAAAACTTTTTTGAAGGAAACTCTTCCTCTTGACAACCCCTACAACCCTGTGTACGTCAAATTGCGAGAGAAATTGGCCGTCATGCCTAAAAACGACCATAGTGATGCGAAAGAAAATTGTTCCTCAACAATCTATTGGAACAAAAAAAATCTAAATTTGTTTCAATAAAAAGTGTTTGTAATCAATCCAGCAATACGTACAAATTTTCTCAGAATGTTTGAGGATATTTTTGGCCATTTAATTTGGTCAGGAAATCGCTAAATTCCAAAATTTCGGAAATTTTCCAAAAATTCTGAAAAAATTCGAACATATTCCTTAGGTGATACTGAACACTTTCCGTTCAATCCAAGTTTCTTATAAAAGTCGTAATTTCCGACATTATAGTTCATTATCAATAAATCATTAATCAATGTTTCCTGAAAATTTTTTAACTTTTGAAGAAATTCATGGCACAGAAACTGCTCAAGATTTTCCAAGGGGATAGAAGACCATGTTTGTTCGCTATTCTTGAGAACGTCGAAAATTATCCAAAACTTTCCATGCAAAAGCAAAAAAAAAAAAAAACAAAAAAAAAAAACAAAAAAAAAAACAAAAAAAAAAACAAAAAAAAATAAAAAAAAATAAAAAACAAAAAAAGAGGGATACTAAAATACTTAACCTCCTCACGGTGTGACCTGGGTAATGCTAATAGTATCACCTAATATGTCCGGATTTTTGCAGAATTTTTGGAAAATTTCCGAAATTTTGGAATTTGGCGATTTCCTGGCCAAAAATATCCTCAAACATTCTGAGAAAATTTGTACGTATTGCTGGATTGATTACATACACTTTTTATTGAAACAAATTTAGATTTTTGAGGAACAATTTCCTTTCGCATCAATAGTTTTGGATCACTATGGTTGTTTTTAGGCATGACGGCCAATTTCTTTTCTCTCGCAATTTGACGTACACAGGGTTGTAGGGGTTGTCAAGAGTTTCCTTCAAATGTTGCGTTCGCTAGGATGACTTTTGCACCCAAAATCGCCATTTTTCCATGAAAGTAAATTTTTGGACACAAATTACAGAAAAATAAAATTCGAAATCAAAATCCCGGAACAAGGGTCGATAGGCAAACTCAAGACGAACATTTTAAGGTGACGCACGTCTAAAACGGATCAATCCTGTGAGTCACTGTGCGTCGTCCGGCGGCATTTTTCAATTTATTGATAGCATGCCGCCCTGATCAACAAATCAGTTTAGATTTGCGGCGGCTTTCCTGTATGAAGAAGACGATGCCGCCGGAAGACGGTTTTTTTTTTCAACAAATGCAAGCACCGCCGGCGGTCGGTTAGCCAGTATGTATATTTAACCTTTACCTACAGCTACATATTTTTTCTTTTAGAAAAAGTCAAAAATAAACTTGTGGGGTACTTTGAAACTCTTGCATGCTCTAAAACCAAGTAAATACTCCTCTTAATTACTTTAAGTATTATATTGTATTATAAAAAAAAATATACGTGTGGCACTCGGCGACTGCCGCGGTAAAGCTATTGCATAGCATTTTTTATCAACTTATGCAATTATAATTATTTATTTATTTTATTTATGCAGTCTTTTTTTTTCTTTGATATTAATTCAAGTTACACTTTTTGAGCGTGGTGACCGATAAGAAAACAATTTTTTTCTTTTATTGAATAAATGAGAAGTTAATATTGTTTAAAATATTTTTATTATCTTACAATACATGTAGGTTATTCAGGAATTTTTATCATTGAAACTATAGGTTTATGGTAATTGAAATAAGAAACATAAGTTTGAGACTTGATATAATAATATCCTCTAAATATCTGGAAAATACCACGTCAATGGTGGTCCCATATTTTGTTGTAGATTCTTGTGGATCATTATTTATTTTCAAATTCAATTTTTCCGAAATTGTGTCTAAAAGAGATAGAATCAGTGAGCAGCTAGTCTACACGCATACGTCTAGTCGCACGCACGCACACAAACACCGTGCCGAAGTCTGCCGAACTGAAACGACGTTAGACGATGTACAGCTTTCAACGCCGCACCGATGTGCCGGTCGGAGTGGGGGTGTTAGGTTTTTTTTCGTTACGCGTTACGGAATTTCTTGATTCGGTCGCCGTGCTCAAAGCCCGCGATAAAAGCTATGCAATAGCTTAAAAAATACATTTTTCTTGCATCACTAATTAAATCTAACATTAACAATCAAACGTGGTTAAGAAGTCAAAAATACACATTAAAAATTACAATTGCAGTAAACTTAAAACAAAAGGAAATGCAAACAATTATTAGCTGAAGGTCGCACTATTACTTATTAGTTCTAAGTTCATACAGAATTAATTTAATCATTAAATAGTTTTCTTTTCATTCTTAACCCATATTGGAGAGAACAATTTTATAAGTCTTTAATCCAGATGAATTAAGCAGCCTAACATACTCTGGTATTCTATTATAAATAGACACACCTTTTGACATACACAGAAACGCAAGCCATTTTTGCGTTTACCTGTGGGATATTTAAGTTATTTTTAAACCACTTATTTAAGTTATGTACCTCATGTCAATGCACCCTGACAGGGTAATCATTATTGTCAGGGTTCGAAAATATGATATTTATATAAATATCTTTATCACATGATATATATCATTTTTAAAATTTAATTATTTAATTAAAAAAATGTTTCTTGCACAAACTATATTTTAAATTTTAACACAAACACATTAACAAAAAACTATATTCTAAACAACAAAACCGTTTATTCTAACTTAAAATATAAAGAAAAAGAAAAATAATGAATAAAATAAACAGATTTTAACATTATTTTATTGACATTATTATTACACATAATTAAAAACCCAAATTTCTAGAGGCTTTCGACGGCTAGACAGAGAAAGCACTACTGACAGGCATCCCGACGGATTTACGCAATGAAAGTACACTCTGCGCATCAAGAATTTCACTATTTCATTCAGACGTAAATGTCAGATGTAAATTTCGCTAAAACATTTCTTTTATTTTCGTTTGTGTTTTTTGCTCATTACAGTTTAATAGAACCTAAGTATGGAGTTTAATAGCAAATTAAGAGGCCGCGTGATTAACAGTCAATCTCGCGAAATAATAGCCAATGTTATAGAGTTTATGAGAAGAGAAGGAAACTTTAATTCACCTTCAATACCATTTAAAAATGTAAATGATCGTGTTGCTGCAGCCACAGGAGTATCTAAAAACACTGTCGTCCGCATTTCTGGAGAGAAAAAAAGAATCGATAACCGTGAGATATCGGAATTTTCATCACCAAGAAAAACCATTAAAAAACCAAAAACAGTTAATGATATAGATGAAGCTGCACAAGAATCAAATTTTATTTTTTTATTATTAGATAGCTATTTTTGTTTCTGAGTTGTGTTTCTCCTTTTTGATTTTATATGGGGTTTCAAGTTGTTTTTGACTTATTTCGACGTAAATCACAACAACACACTTTTTTAATAAAGCAAACAAGTGTTAAGAGGTATATGTACGTGTAAACTACAATTACAAAAAATTGATATGAAACCCATGAAACCACCAACAAAAATGTAAAGCTAGCTTCCGTACTAGAACATGGTGTCATTCGTCGAGATAATTTATCGTTTTGTTTAATAGATCAAGAAATGTAAATATTCCCCTGTTATTTTTTATAAAATTATAAGAGAAATAAATTTTTTTCTAAATAGTATAGTTTATTATTTTGTAGAAAAACAAAATTTCGAAAATTTTAGTAATGTTTCAGAAACAACCGTTATTAATAATAGGTACCATTTTCCTTAATAAGGTAGAATTAAAATATAAACTATTTCCACGATTTACAAAGGCCTACAAAAAAATTATAGGTATTTTCCGCTATCCTATAAAATTTATATTTTCTGACTCAATTTCAAAAGGTAGAAGGAATTCCAAAACACCTTTTATGGCATAATAATTATTTTCAATTCTACATACTATCTTTAGCTGCTTTTAAAAACGTTCTAAGAAAGTCCAATCAGACCAATTTAATCCCTAAACTATTCCACACTTTTAAAATTTAATTACCTAAAAATATTAAAAACTATTTAAAATAACTTGTTTAGCAGACTGTACAATAGCTATCTTAGTCACACGTAGCGCGTTCTCTGTCTGGGCGTCGAACACCTCTAGAAATTTGATGAACTGTATATTCTAAATTCTAAACAAAAAAATCTTTTATTAAAACATTTATAATTCTAATTAAAAAGAAAAAATTAAAACCAAACAAATTTTAACATTATTTTGTTAACATTGATATTGGTATATCCTCATCTGATGAATTATTAATATTAATAATGTTATTTCTATTAGTGAAAATAACTTCAGAATTTTCAGATATGGCTGGTTCCCATGCCCAGTCAAGGTTGGTTTTCTTTTTGTCTATATTTTGATTCATGCACTTAAACAGCAAAATCAAAAATCGTGGCGAAGCTGGGAATCCCAAAGTCGTCGCGGCGATGCTTGCGCGATAGCCAAATAAATCTCTAGTTATTATACTTTTGTACAGGGGCGTATTGAGACACATTCGGATGTTTATAATGGTGAAAAACATTTTTAATTATTAAATAAAATGATCGAAAATATCGGATAAATATCAAGATATATTATCATATCCGAACCCCGATTATTATTAATTTTCTTTGCAGATGGCCCCTGGAAACCCACACTGGGAGCTCCTAAACATGATTCTAGAATATCGTAAGGGCTTGGATATAAAGCCTTTAACAGAGAATGATCCCATAGAGGATCACCTGATAACTGTCTGCGTGAGGAAAAGGCCTTTGAACAAGAAAGAAATATCTAGGAAAGAAGTAGATGTAATAACGATTCCCAGTAAAAATCAGTTGATTGTACATGAACCAAAAAACAAAGTAGATTTAACAAGATATCTGGAAAACCAGCTGTTCAGGTTCGATTATGCTTTTGATGAATCCTGCTCAAATGAATTGGTCTACCGGTAAGTCAATTTTGTTTTGTATTTCAATTTAAGTTTGGTACATTTGAACTACTCCCTTATATTACGGATTTAAGTCCATGGTGCTTCAATACATAGTTTGTCAATTGTTATTTTTAAATTGGTACATTTGAACTACTAGTTTAAAATTTGTACTGGTTGGCTTATAATGTTCAAATATCATAGGTATAACGTTTGTTACACGTTATTTTTAATCTTGATACATTTGATCTACCTCCATATACTTTGTCAATTGTTAATTATTATGACCCATAATACTAAAAAATATCAAACATCCATAAACGAATATTTTTGAGTTTGGAATATTTAAACTTCCCTCTTATTGCTCTATTGTTAGCGATTTAAATCCCCTTTAGAATTTGTTGAATTTTTTCTTACAAGGCTTTAGTTATCATATAACCATTATTTATTACAGTATTTTGATTATAATGCTTTAAATATCATAAGTTTTATTCCTGTTATTTTAAATCTTGTTTCATTGAACTACTGCCTTATAATTTGTCTATTCTTACTGCTTGAAAATATCAAAACCTCCATAAACGGTCATTTTTAAGTTTGCTACATTTGAACAACTCCTTTACAATTGATCTATTGTTATGTATTTATGTCCCACAGTGCTTTAAAGTATCATAAAGTTTGTTAACTGTTATTTATAAACAGGTACGTTTGAACTACTACCTTATAATTTGTAGAATTTTACAGTGTATTTGCATAAAATGTTTTTAATCTTGGTACATTTGATCTACTACTTTATAATTTCGTCTATTCCTACTTTTTTATGTTCTATAATGCTTGAAAATAACAAAACATCAAGAAGCGGTTATTTTGAGTATGGTACATATGAACTACTTCCTTATAATTGGTCATTTGTTGCGGATTTATCTCCTACAGTGTTTCAAAGAATTATAAAGTTTATTAATTGTTATTTTAAATTAGAACATTTATACTTCTACCATAGAATTTCTTGAATTTTACAGTATTTTGTTTACAATTCTTTAAATTCATACGTTTGTTAACTATTATTTTAAATCTCTGTCTATTTGAACTACTATATTGTACTTTGTTATTTGTTTTTTTTGGCTAACAATACTTTAAAATATTCATTTTATAATTAGTCTATTCTTTCATGTCCCATAATGCTTGAAAATATCAAAACATTTTTGAGTTTGGTACATTCAAACTGCTCCCTTACAATTGGTCTATTGTTACGGGTTTATGTCCCACGGTACTTCAAAACATCTTACTGTCATTTTTAAATTGGCACGTTGGAACTACTAGTTTAGAATTTGTTGAAATTTACAGTGTTTTTACATAAAGTGTTTTAAATATCATATAATGATTACTACTTATTTTTAACCTCGGTACATTTGTTTATTTTTACTGTTTTGTGTCCTAATGCTTAAAAATGTCAAAACATCAATAAACTCTCATTTTGAGTTTGATACATTTGAACTATTTTATAATTTATCTATTCTTACAAAACATCCATATTCAACCATTTTTGAGTTTGGTACTGTTTTGAACTATCTACCCTCTTTATAATTGATCTACTGTAACTGTTATTTTTAAATTGGTATGTTTGAACTACTTGCTTACAGTGCTTTAAATATAAAACTTTTGGTACCTATTATTTTTAATCGCGGTAGATTTTAACTACTGTCTTATAATTTGTCATTTTTAGTTTTATGTTCCACAATACTTGAGAATATCAAAATAGTCATAAACGTTCAATTTTGAGTTTGGTACATTTGAACTACTTCATTACAATTGGTCTTATGGATTTATGTCCCACAGTACTTCAAAACATTTTACTGTCATTTGTAAATTGGTACGTTTGAACTACTAATTTAGAATTTGTTGAATTTTACAGTGTTTTTACATACAATATTTTAAATATATAATGATTGTTACTTATTTTTATTCTCGGTACGTTTAAACTACTGCCTTATAATTTGTCAATTTTTAATTTTATGACCCACAGTGTTTTAAAACATTAAACATTTTTGGTATAATACATTTTTGGACTACTATTTTATAATTTGTTCCACAATACTCGAGAATATCAAAATAGTCATAAATGTTCAATTTTGAGTTTGATACATTTGAACTACTTCATTACAATTGGTCTATTGTTACGGATTTATGTCCCTCAGTACTTCAAAACATTTTACTGTCATTTTTAAATTAGTACGTTTGAACTACTAGTTTAGAATTTGTTGAATTTTATAGTGTTTACATATGTTTAAAATATCATATAACGATTGTTGCTTATTTCTAATCTGGGTACATTTGAACTACTGTCTTATAATTTGTTTACTCTTACTGTTTTGTGTCCTAATGCTTGAAAATATCAAAACATCCATATTCAACCATTTTTGAGTTTGGTACATTTTGAACTACATATCGTCTTTATAATTGATCTATTGTAACTGTTATTTTTTAATTGGTATGTTTGAACTACCTACCCTCTTTATAATTGGTCTATTGTGCTTTAAAATATTAAACATTTTTGGTATAATACATTTTTGGACTACTATTTTATAATTTGTCTATTCTTGGTTTTATGTTCCACAATACTCGAAAATATCAAAATAGTCATAAACGGTCATTTTTGAGTTTCGTACATTTGAACTACTTCATTACAATTGGTCTATTGTTACGGATTTATGCCCCACAGTAATTCAAAACATTTCACTGTAATTTTTAAATTGGTACGTTTGAACTACTAGTTAAGAATTTGTTGAATTTTACAGTGTTTTTACATACAATGTTTTAAATATGTGACGGTTGTTACTTATTTTTAATCTCGGTACATTTGAACTACTGCCTTATAATTTGTTTATTCTTACTGTTTTGTGTCCTAATGTTTGAAAATATCAAAACATTAATAAAGTGTCATTTTGAGATTACATTTGAACTATTACCTTATAATTTGTCTAATCTTATTAATTTATGTCCCATAATACTTGAAAATATCAAAACATCCATATACAACCATTTTTGAGTTTGGTACATTTTGAACTACCTACCCTCTTTATAATTGGTCTATTGTAGCTGTTATTTTTAAATTGGTATATTTGAACTACTTGCTTACAGTGCTTTAAATATAAAACTTTTGGTACCTATTATTTTTAATCGTGATAGATTTTAACTACTTATAATTTGTCAATTTTTAGTTTTATGACACACAGTGCTTTAAAATATTAAACATTTTTGGTATAATACATTTTTGGACTATTTTATAATTTGTCTATTCTTAGTTTTATGTTCCACAATACTCGATAATATCAAAATAATCATAAACGGTCATTTTTTAGTTTGGTACATTTGAACTACTTCATTACAATTGGTCTATTACGGATTTATGTCCCACAGTACTTGAAAACTTCTTATTGTCATTTTTAAATTGGTACGTTTAAACACAGTGTTTTTACATACAATGTTTTAAATATCATATAACGATTGTTGCTTTTTTTAATCTCAGCACATTTGAACTACTGCCTTATAATTTGTTTATTCTTATTATTTTGTGTCCTAATGCTTGAAAATATCAAAAGTCAATAAACTGTTATTTTGAGTTTATACATTTGAACTTTATCTTATAATTTGTCTATTCTTACTATTTTATGTCCCATAATACTTGAAAATATCAAAACATCCATATTCAACCATTTTTGAGTTTGGCACATTTGAACTACTTCATTACAATGGGTCTATTGTTACGGATTTATGTCCCACAGTACTTCAAAGCATTTTAAAGTATATTAAATGTTATTTTTAAATTGGTAAGATTGAACTGATACTCAAGAATTTGTTGAATTTTAGAGTGTGTTTGCTTACAAAGCTTTAAATATAAAATGTGTGTTGTCTGTTATTTTTAATTTTGGTACATTTAAACTACTACCTTTTATTTTTTCAATTATTAGATGTGCCTAACAATGTTTTGAAATTTTTATATTTTACAAATTATGTCCCATAATGAATGAAAATATCAACATATTTATGAACGGCGATTTTCAGTTTGGTACATTTGAACTACTCCCTTAAAATTATTCTATTGATACTGTTGTGTATCCTATAATACTTGAAAATTGTTTTTCCTACATTGCTTTTAGTACCATAAAACTTCTCTATTTTTAATTTTGGTACATTTCAACTAATACCTTATAATTTGTCTATTCTATTCTATTCTTACTGTTTTATGTCCCATACTACTTGAAAATGTCAAAACGACCATAAACGACCGAGTTTGGTACATTTGAACTACTTATAAGTTGTCTGAAAATGTAATATATTTCTATGTTTGGTAGGTTTGAACTAATAACTTATATATTTTTGCAATTTTATGTCCCACCATACTTCAAATTATGTATTGTAAATTCGTTAACGGCCATTTTTTAGACTCGTACATTTGAAATACCACCTTAAAATTTGTATAAATAACTTCCTGTATTAAATGAGAAATCAAAAATAATTTCATTTTGTAATATTTATTGTTTAATTAAAACATCCGTTAATAAAGACCCATTTATCGGCAATATGTTATTTAAACAATTTAGGTATAGATAATATTTAATATTGACTTCAATTCTCGTGCATGCTTTTGTATTGATAAAAAAAAATCTACAAAATACAGTTAGGAACGTTTCAACCATTTGTTGTGATTGACAAAAAAATTTAAGTGTGTATTCACAACAAATGCTGTTGAAATAATGAGAACAATGATTGTATAAATAAACAACGTTTTTATTTCTAAAGTAACAGGATTTTAATTGTTATCAATTCTGGTAACTGTTTTTTTTTAATATATTTAAAAAAGATAACAGTCTTGAGGACGTGGATAGTCGCCAATAAATTGAAATGTACTTTATTTTTTTGTGAATAACATTTAACCTAAATTATTACGTATTTTGTATTATTTGTTTTCAAACAATTTTTTTCAATCATGAGTTTGAAAACGAATAATTTAAATTCCTTTTATT